TGAAACCACCCTTTTCAATTCCTTTTTTGAGGGGTGGTTATTTATTTTTTATATGCCAGTAAGCAATTTACTGATTTTTATGTGATATTACAGCCTGCAACTTTGCCCCGCTAACTTATTCTTAGTGATGACTTCACTTATTTTAATAGCTTAGTTATAAGACACTTTGCATAACAGCTATGTTTTTATTTCTTTTTTCTTTTCAGGTAGCCATTAACAGCATTTCTAGTGAAATATTAAATAAGGAATGATAACAGAGAACACCCAAATCTTGTTCTTCTTTTTAGGAAAAAAGTTTGTCTTCAATAAACATGCTGTTGACTCTTGTTTTAAAGCACACAGTTTATCATATTAAGAAAAACACACCTAATGTTTTCAGAGTTTTAATCTATAAAGTGATGATAAATTTATCTGGATGCTTTATCTGAATCTAATTACATTATGTTGATATTTTGTTTGTGATAAACTAAGTTAATAGAGTTCTTTGAGTTTAATAGCTAATTCTTTTAATTTGTTGGTTTTTTCATTTGCAGATACTTTATTTGGGGCATTTGCACCTATGTCTAAAATTAAATTGGTCTAAAATGTTCCTTTCATTGTCTTTGTTTAGTTTGGATTTAAAATCATATTTTCCTCTAAAAATGAATTTTAAAAAATGATAGTAATAATAATAGGCATTTTAACTGGGTGCTTACTATATGCAATGCACTGTTATATGCACATTATGGGTATTTTCTCATTTAGTCCTCACAATAACCCTGCTAAGCAGATATTATTACTCTATCCATTTTACAGATTATTGTTATAATTTTCTTTGTTTTTAAATTTATTACTAAGTTAATTATTGGTTCTTGAAAAGTCAGAAAATTTTCTTCATTGGCATCAAATGCCCTTTTAGAAACTATTTTATATTTTTTCGTATTATATTTACATTCTTTAATTCTTTTCGCACCTTTGGCTACTTACAAATATATAAAATATCCCCAAAGGTTTCTCCCAATCTCAAAAACATAGGTCACAAAGGGGACAATTAAGAGCAGTTATCCATTCATTCAACAACAATGGTATAAAAACTATACGAGTTTCTCGTATAGTCCAGGCATAGTTCTAGAAACTGGGGATAGAGGAATACATAAAAATAAAGTTCCTGTTCTAATGAGCTTATGTTCTAGAGAAACAGAAGATAGATAGACAGATAGATAGATAGGTAGATAGGTAGATAGATAGATAGATAGATAGATAGATAGATAGATAGATAGACAGACAGACAGACAGACAGACATTACTAAATGACTAGAATAAAAATAAAGGGAGGGACAGAGATAGGAGTACTATTTTAGATAGGTGGTAGGGGGAAACCCTTAACAGAGACAATATTTGAGCAGAAATCAGAATGAAATGAAGGAAGGGAATTCCAAGCAGATGGGTAACAAGTTAAAAGGCTCAGAGGTAGGAACATGCTTGATGTGTCCAGAAACAGTGAGGGGCATACAGAAAGTGAGGGGCAATAGGAGTGAGATCAGGGAGAGGGCAGAGGTGTGAGTCATCCATTGCCCCAAAAAATTTGGCAAGGTCTTTGAGTTTTGTTCTGACTGAGATGAGAAGCCATTAGAGGATTTTGAACAGAGAATTGACATGGTCTGACATATTTCTTCATGTTCACTCTGGTTGCTATGTAGAAACTGTTGGAGATGGGACAAGGATATAAACAGGGAGCCCATTTAAGAGACTACTGCACTAATCTGGAAGTAAATAATGATTTGGGGGCCACGAATGTAGCAGACAACACAGAGAAAGTGGTCCCATTTTGGATATATTTCATAGAAAGAGATGACAAGATTTGCCAATATACTGGATGAGGACAGTTTTTTAAAAAGAGGAGTTAAGGATAGTGCCAAGGTTTTGGCTTAAGCAATTAGAATAAGATGGGGATGACTAAGGAAGTAGCAGGTTTGAGGACTGGAAGACCAGGGAGACAGTTTTGGACAAGTTTGAGATGCCTGTTAGACATCCAAGTGGATAAGGAGAATAGGCAGTTAGGCATAAATAAGTTTGAGATTCAAGGGGACAAATCCCAAACTGGAGATAGACATTTGGATGGTATTTAAAGCTTTGGGAGTAATGAGACTACTTAAGGAATGAGTGTAAATCAAGAAGTCAATGGGGCATTTCAACAGCTAGAGATCAGAAGAATGAGAATGAGCAAAAGACAAAAAGAGCAAGTAACCAGTAAGGTAGGCGAGATGCCAAAACAAAACTGTGCTTCAAAACCAAGTGAAGAAAGTATCTGAAGATGGGTCAAGTGCCAAACTATGCCAACTCTGGCTTGTTGGTTTCGGTAAAACGGAGCCGGAGAACTAACCTCAGAGGTAGCAATGGCAGCCTTGACAAGGGAACTTCAGGAGAGGATGGAAAGAGGGGAACTGGAGAGTGAGTCCTGGCCACATTTGGAGGACTTTTGTGGAAGCGGGGAGCAGAGAAATGAGCTAACAGCTAGAGGAAAATGTGGGTGAAGGGTAGATTTTTTTTTTTAACTGGGAGCTGCTTGCATGCTGACAGGAATGATCCAGAAGCTAGGGGGGAAATCTTTTTGGTTTTACATTAGATTCTCTTAGCTTTATTTTCTTGAAATAGGAGTACTTGGGAAAACTATTTTCCTAACAAGTGAGAAATAGTAACAAGAAAATTTTCTTCTTCCATATCTTTGGGGAAGTGGGAAGATTGCAAGGAAAAGAAAGATGGAGTCACCCTGATTTCAAAGGAATATAATCAATGAAGGGTCAGAGTTTTTAGACTATACGTCCTGCGGCTCCCGTTCACAAGCTTTGGTCAGTCTCAGAACCTACATGCAGCCACACAAACAAGTCCTCTCTCCTCAGTATAGGTGATCCTCTTCCACCACATCCCTGCTGTACATTCCCTTTCTCCTGTCCCAACACTGGCCACTCCAGGAATCCCTGACCCATTTCCCCAGATGCTCCAAGTTTAAGTTTACCCAATAGCATTTTTTATATGTATAAATATTTTTATTGATTTCAGAGGGACAGGGAGAGATAAAAATATCAATGATGAGAGTGAATCATTGATTGGCTGCCTCGAGCCCCCAACCTGGGCATGCGCCCTGACCGGGAATCAAACCGTAACCTCCTGGTTCCTAGGTTGATGCTCAAACACTGAGCCACACCAGTCAAGCCAGTCGTACTTCTTAAAGTGAAATTGAAGGAGCACCGCTTTGAAATCAGACGGACCTGGAATCAAATCTTGATGTCTTTGGGGAAATTATTTAAACACTTCCAGTCTCAGTTTATTCATCTATATAATAATAATAATTCCTATCTTACACAGGTTGTTGTTAGGGTTAAATTAAATACATGCACTTGCCGAGCCCCCTATTATGCCATACAGTAGGTACTCAATAAATGTCACCTCCCTGGTCTAAGGGCTATTTCCTATGTGAAAGTTTTACATTTGACTAGAAGCTTCTTAGGAGTGAGAAAAATGTTCTTTATTGTTTTCTTTTCTCTCACATAACCCAATAAAGAGCTCTTTTAGTCAGAACTGATCAAATGAAGATCTCAACCATATTGAATGTTTCCCTTCGTTTTTACTTTTCACCAAATAGATTTCCCTCCTCTTAGGCTCCTGCATTTCTATCTTACATGTGTCCTTTACTCAAAGATTTCTGCCTCTGTGTCACCAAACACTTGAATCCCTAAAAAAAAAAAAAAAAAAAAAAAATCAAGTTGCCCCATCCAGGTGGCTCAGTTGGGTGGACATTGTCCCATACACCAAGAAGGCTGAGGGTTCAATTCGAGGTCAGCACATATGCCTGGTTGCAGATTTGATCCCCAGCTCCCCACAATTGGTGTGTGTACAGGAAGCAATCAATGTTTCTCTCACATTAATGTTTCTCTCTCTCTCTCTCTCTCTCTCTCTCTCTCTCATCCATGAAAGGGTATCCTTGGGTGAGGATTACAAAAGCAGCGGGGCGGGGGGAAGAAATCAAATCAGTAAAGCATTAATTCAAAATGAGTCATTTATCTCCCATGCTAAGGAATAGCTCTCAACACAGGTGAAGACCTCAATTGGGACCGCTGCATAGTCGAAATCTCCATCTCCCCCAATACCCTCCCCAAGTGTACTGGTAAGTTCCTTTTCTCCAAGCAGGCTCTACCTCAGCAAAAAGGCAGTGTGGGTAATGTCAGCCTCCTAAGACAGTTTCCCCCTTATTATTCCCTGCCCAGTTTCCAGATGGGCCATCACTGCACTGCCATAGCTTTTCCGCCATCAGTGGTTCCCTATCACTAGTTGGCACGCTAACTCAAATTCTTTCTTTCTCCCCTCCCTCTTTCTGATTTATATTCTTATAGGACCCAAATTCTCACTATAGCTTGTGAAGCAGTGAAAAATAATTTATATTATATCTAACAAAACTTTATCTGAGCTTGCACTGAACTATTTTAAACTCCAATTTAGTAGGGTCCCCATGTTGCCCTGTTTCCAGCTGTTACTTTGGGCAATGTTATACCTGTGATTTATCTTTGTTATCTACAGGAGCAACTCTCACCCTCCAGAGGCAGAGTCCCTTCCTGGGTAAGCCCAGACAGAAGGGCTGGCTGAACTGTCCCAGTCAGCAGGCTCTTCTGTCTAGGTTTGCCCTGACCTACTCCATCCCCAAGCATCATCACCAGGATCAAGGTGACCCAGAGTCAGTGACGAGTGGCAGCCAGAGCACCCTGAGCCCTGGGCTCTCTGTGGGTGGGGAGACAAAATATTCAAGGGGAAGGAGTTTATATACAAATAACACCCTCTGGTTCTACATATGCACCACGGTGGTTCCAAAATTCTGTACAGAAATGGCCTTCAGGTGGTAATCTTATCAGGATTAGGAAGAAACTATATTTCCATATCTTTTTTCTTAATGTTGAGACATTAGTTACTCATATCAAAGAAAGTATGATGGAAATTCAAGGGGCTAAAGCACCCTCAGTAACCCCCTCATTGTTACCACCACTAAGTATCTGGCTATATGTCACAAGGATTCTCTTTAAAGGGATGGGAGATGGAGTTCTGTGGGGTCTAGGATCAGCAGCATTTTGGTGATGAAATTATTAAAACCCTGACTTTGGGATCTGTTGTAGCCATAGGACTTTCCTTTGAAAGGTGAAGAGCCTTCTTTGGGGTTTGTACCAAATGAACACACAGATGTGACCAGCTGTGAGTTGAGGTATTATTTGAAGGAGGGAGGGAGGCATGGGCACTTCCACTATCGTTAAAGCCTGTGCCTGGTCTGGATCTCCCAGCAGGACTAGTTGACCATGGAGAAAGGGAACCACACGAGCACCTCTGCGTTCATCCTCCTAGGGCTCTCCAGCCAGCCTGAGAGGCAGGAGCTGATCTTCGGGCTCTTCCTGGTCATGTACCTGATTGGGGCAGCAGGGAACCTGCTCATCATCCTGGCCATTGTCTCAGACTCTCACCTCCACACGCCCATGTACTTCTTCCTCAGTAACCTCTCCCTGGTGGATTTCTGCTTCATCTCCGCCACAGTCCCCAAGATGCTTGTGAACATCCAGATGCAGACTCAGTTCATTTCCTATGGTGGCTGCCTAACTCAGATCTACTTCTGCATTTTGCTTGCCAACATGGACAACTTCCTCCTGACAGCAATGGCTTATGACCGCTATGTGGCCATCTGCCACCCTCTGCATTACTCCACTATGATGAGTCTGCAAATCTGTGCCCTGACACTGGGGAGCTCCTGGCTCATCGCTAACTTCCACTCCCTGCTACACACCCTCCTCATGGCTCGACTGGAGTTCTGTGCCAGCAACGTCATCCCTTACTTCTTTTGTGACCTCGTTCCCCTGCTCCAGCTCTCCTGTTCCAACACTCAACTCAACCAGCTCATGATTCTGCTGGTGGGAGGCTTGATCGTCCTCATCCCCTTCGTTGGCATTCTCATCTCCTATGTCCACATTGTGTCTGCTGTGCTCAAGGTCCCATCTGCCAGAGGCAAACAAAAGGCCTTTTCTACCTGTGGTTCCCATCTCACTGTAGTCATCCTCTTCTATGGGACTATCACAGGGGTCTACCTGAACCCCTCATCTTCCCATTCAGCTGACAAGGATTCACTAGCTTCAATAATGTATATGGTGGTCACTCCCATGCTGAACCCCTTCATTTACTGCCTCAGAAACAAGGACGTGAAGAGAGCTCTAAGGAAACTGTTCACTGTAAAGGCTTTATCCTGTGGGCTATGGACAGCAGAGTTCCCCCTCAGGATCTCTGTGCTGGGAAGAGGAGAATGAATCCCAGGGACAGGCTGCACATGCAGAGGGCAGGAGGAACACAGACTTCATTATCCTGGGTTGTCACCATGGCTATGGCTCTCTAAGAAATTTGCTAGTCCAAAATTTCTTGGGGCCTGGCCAGGTAGTTCAGTTGATTAGAGCGTCATCCCAGTACATCAAGGTTGTAGATTTGATCCTCAGTCAGGGCACATACAAGGATTAACCAATGGTTGCATCAATAACTGAAACAAGTCCTGGCTAGTATGGTTCAGTTGGTTGTGCGCAACCAAGTCACCGAAAGGTTGCTGGTTCAGTCTCCAGTCAGGGCACATGCCCAGGTTGCAGGCTCAATCCCTGGTAAGGGATATGCAGAATTTCTCTCCTCTGGAATTCTCATTCATGTTTCTATTTCTCCCTCTCCTTTCCTCTCTTAAAAAAAAAATCGATAAAAAAAATAACTGGAACAACAAAAAAATTGATCACTCTCTTTCTCTCTCAAATCAAATTTTTTAAATTTGGAGAAAGAACACTTAAGGCCTTTCTCCCCATGATTTTACCTTAGCCAATACTTTTATATCTCCCCATCCTCCTCTAAGGAAGAAGAGTTACCAATCTGGTTGGTCTGACCCCGGGGAGTTCACTGGCTCGTATCTTATGAAGGGCAGTGTGCCCTGAAAGGTCAGCATCCAGAAGTGAAGCTCCCTTCCTTCCAGCCTGCCCCTGGTTAGTCCTCTTCTATTTGTGTCTGGCTGGAGTCCCCACTTGGGGTCCAATCAACCACACACACAGTGCCTGCACACACATGTCCTCAATTCAGATCTGGAGCTGAGAGAGAGAAGTAAGGTAGGCCTAGACTATTTTCCAGCTCACTTTTTACCAGTGATCCCATGATGGAGGTTACTGGGTACAACTCAGATACTAACCAAGTGGTACTTTGGTGCAAAGTTTGCTATTGTTCCTTAGATTGTCTACTTGGAAGCCCCAGGAGTTGAGATGATTGCCAGGGCAGAATTTATGCTTCCCTGAGTCTCTAACATAAAACCACAATGAAAGTAACAAAATCTCACCTCAAACATGTAAAAATGTGTAGAAAAGTTGATGTAAACATGGAGATCTTCCTTTAACATACATCCTATATAATAAAAGGTTAATATGCAAACTGTCCCCTCGACAGGGAGTTCAACCAGGGGGCGAGGCCAGGCAGCCAACCACCTGCGGCCCCTCCCCCGACCAGTCCCCCCACCCTGATCAGGGGTGGGGCTG